GAGTGCTTTTATAGTAAGAATATATTATTGTTATAATAATACATTCATTAATTTCTTAAATTAATAAGTTTTCTATTCCCTATCTATTTCTTAGAATAATTGATTTCACCATACCTCACCATTCCACAAGTTGACTCTGAGGTTCAAATGAAAGATTTAATACTGTAGATATTAGTTTCAGTTAATAAGTCAATTAATATATTGTAAGTTAATAAATAATGAGTAAAGTAATAAATAATGAGTAAAGTAAAATAAAAAGTAAATTGTCAGCAACATTTCAATATTATGCTTTGATCATGAATTAAACATTGAGAGCCTAACTTGAGTCTGCTAAAAGTTTGTGAATGTTTCTCTGGCAACATGGACGGAAGAAGATATAAGCAAACTTCATTTTCATTAAACTATGATTCTCTTTAAAGGTTATTACCATCGCCAGTAAGATAGAAGGACTGAGAGCCGAGGCACTGCACCCTGGTGTTGAGCGTATCAATGACAACTGGATGGATGCTATTCGTAAAGTAGAGATTTGCCGTAGAGATGAACTTGGCCATGCATCTAACCACCAGCTATATGGTTTTCAAAAACAGGAAGACAAAGGTGAGTGTTGTACTATTATGTACTGTATGTATGTGTGTTATGTTTTATTTCACTACATGAAATATGAAAATTATTCTTTAAAGATGGTGACTTTTATTGCAAGAGTGATATTGGTTACTCAAGATTTTCACTATGTCTTTTAAGTATTGTAGTACTGTACACGGATAATACTGTATGGCTAGCAGTTGATCCAATAGAAAAAATGTTATTGAAACTGAAATAAATGAGCTGTTGATATTCTACAGTGTACTAGTCTTTAAATTATGTGTGCTTGTAAAGCTCATACAACTTCACATGTTAGTTTTTAACTGCTAAAATTTTTGTCCACATGGGCTTCACTTGATATTTGAGGTGTAGGCTCTGTGTACTAAAATGTTTGAATGTGTGTCAACATAATTCTTCCCAGCTCCTTTATAAGGTCTAAAAGCAATATCAACCAAAATCTGTAGTGCCAACAGAGGGCAGCATACCAATATTCATTTCAATAATGAAAATAATTATAAATAAATAATGGCTCTTTAACCAAGTCATAATTTGTGGGATCATAAAAGTACTTGGTTATTGACATTTTTATAGTCCATGCAATTTTATCACATTTTTCATGGGTTTCGCCTATTATATTTTAATGGTGTATACCATAATAGTCTGAATTTCAAATTTGATCATATTGGCTTCTTTATATTTTTTTTTCAGCAGATATAATGCGATTAGCTGACAGCATTGCCCATTTAACCTTAGCAACAAGGAAGGCAAGGACAGGCTTGTGGTGTGCTCTTCAATTGGCAAGGCAACATCATTTGAAAAGATTAAAACATAATTGCAGTTCCCAGCAAAATTGATGGAACCTATAAAGTTATGAAATATTAATAAGAATAATTCATCACTCATTTAATTAAAACTGGCTATCGTGCGGAAGAAATCTAGAAATACAGTAGTATATTAATAATCCTCATTATTGTTAACACCATCATCAGCATCATCTTCATTATAATTACCTTATTATTCATACCTTTATCATCACCATGATGTTATCACAATCATCTCATCATCATTATAGTTGTCTTCTTGACTAAATCATCACCACTTTCAGAAATGATTAAGAAATACTTTATCAACCAACTAATTAAAATGACTCACAAATCAAGTTTAATACATTGTTGTATTTTCCCCCCTTTTAACCTTATGAGAAATGGACTACT